AAGTGTAATTGAAGCTCATTACGGACTAATTGTAGGGTTTTACCGCTTCGGTGCATTCAGGAGCCTCTGGCTCATCACTAAACTGCAGTTAAAGTTCCTGCACGGTTTTACACGGACTAAACCTGATCTCCGATCTTTCAGCTTGGCGTGTTTCGTACCAACAGTATCTGTGTTAAATCACAGTTTGGGATATTTCTGTGTGAGATCATAGTTCGAAGTTGAGACGTTTTTGTTTTTTTTCACCCTACATGGAGCGTTAATTAAAACTACTATGGATGCGAATTTGATCATTAAAGAGAAAATGCTCATTCTGTCATCATTTACTCGCGCTCAGGTCAAACCCGTAGGACTTTCTTGTTCTCTGTGGGACACAAAAGAAGATGTTTTGGAGAATGCACAATGGAAGTCAGGGGGTCTATTACTATCGCACAACATTAGAAGAAAACATTGTTTTTTAAAAACATATTTAAAGTATTTATTTCTTCAGGGAACGTTATGCCTTTCAATAACATGCTATTTCTTTTTTTGAAGAAAAAACAAACAAATATTTTTAACCTGTGTTAAATCATAGCTTGAGCCGAGATGTTTTCTTGAAAAACTATTGCTAATGTTATGAATGTTAATTTTACAGTTAAATGGATACTTCATCCAGTCTCAGTGTTTTTTGTCCACAGGGTCCAGTTTTGTGTGCAATTATCTTGCAATATTAGAAGAAAACATCATTTGGACAACATCTTTAAACTAGGTTTCCTTCTTTAGAGAATGTTATGCTAACCTTTCAATAGTGCTATTTATGTTAAGAAAACAAAGACAACAAAAAGTTTTTAACCCGTGTTAAATCGTAGTTTGGCCTGAGATGTTTTCCAATATTTAAACAGCCTATGGCTAATGTGATGAATGTTAATTAGACCATTAAAGGGACAGTTCACCCCAAACTGATCATTCGGTCGTTTATTTTGAAGAGCTTCTCAGCGTTTTTTGTCCATACAGTGAATCCATTTCTTAAGAAAGAAAGTTATATATGTTTAAAAGGACATATAATGACAGAATTTTAATTTCTGAGTGAACTATACCTTTAAGGTCTCGTACTATTAGAAAAAAAACATCCTTTGGCTAACATTTCTGAACATATTTTTAACTAGATGTTGTGCTAACCTTTAAATAACGCCCTGTTTTATAACATAAAGCTGGTAAAGGGGTTCTTACCTGTGTTAAATCACACTTTGCGTGTGTTAGATGTTAGTTTGAGATGTTCTCTTCAGCTTTAACGGACACTCGACAGATTAGTGACGCCATCACTCAAAGCCCGCGCGCGGGAAACAGACTCGAGCTCCCCGACGACCCGCCGCTCATCTGTCAAACCTTCAGCCCCTTTCCTCGCATTATTTTCCACCATATATTATTCTTTCCTCGTGTCTTTTTTGAGTAGGTCGGGAGTTTGAACTGGAAGCGTCTTGCCGTTGTTTTCTTTACTAAAACACCTGTACAAACAGCGGCCGCGCCAAGTGACAGCTCTGCAGTGAAATCTTCATTTCTCTTTCATGGGAACTTCGAACTGCGTCCTCTAGTGGTCGCTATGGGGAAACCTAGAGGACGCAGATTCTCGTTCCCTACTCAGGGAACCATGGTTACATAAGTAACCTGAGAGGTTCCCTTTCATGGGAACTTCGAACTGCGTCCTCTAGGTTTCCCCATAGCGCCCCCTAGAGGACGCAGGGACTCGTTCCCTACTCAGGGAGCCATGGTTACATAAGTAACCTGAGAGGTTCCCTTTCATGGGAACTTCGAACTGCGTCCTCTAGGTTTCCCCATAGCGCCCCCTAGAGGACGCAGGGACTCGTTCCCTACTCAGGGAGCCATGGTTACATAAGTAACCTGAGAGGTTCCCTTTCATGGGAACTTCGAACTGCGTCCTCTAGGTTTCCCCATAGCGACCCCTAGAGGACGCAGTGTCTCGTTCCCTACTCAGGGAACCATGGTTACATAAGTAACCAGAGACGTTATTCATTAGCGACCGCGATGCCTGTCAGTAATTGTCACAATTACATGTACATAAATTCAGACAAATAACCAAAAATAAGCAAAGGGAAAAATAAAATAAACTATTACAACGTATAAAGATTGATTAAATATATATTACAGATGTTAAGTGTTGATAAATCACATTAATAGCATGTTCACCACGGTTGCCAGGTTTTCACAACAAAACCCGCCCAATCACTAATCAAAATTAACACAAAAAATAAGGGTTGCCAAGTCCACGGTTTTCCCGCTTATTGGGCCATGGGTTGTTTTTCATGTCCGTGGGTTGAAGCGACTCCAATAACGTTATATTTACTATTGGAACGCAAATTTTACCAGGGGAACGAACCCAAACAAAAAAAACTTGTATTTTATAACCCAGAATGCGATTTTTAATGGGGGACCCCCTCGAAATGCCATTGGACTAGTTTTGGGCAGGGTTGCCAGGTTTACACAACAAAACCCGCCCAATCGCTACTCGAAACTAGCCTAGTAAAATACTTTTTTTTGGCGAGGTTCCCCAAGTAAAATTCACATTCCAAGGGCTAAATATCACGGAAAATCGTGGCCTTGGCAACACTGCCTTTCACAGCAAGGATGATTAATTATGAAGTTAACAGTCGTTCTAATTTGAAAGTATTTTTTTTTCCAGCTGACTAACAATAAAAACATTTGGTGCATCTGAAATTGCGTACTAGGAAGGTACTACATTTGAATGTGAATTTTAGAAAAGTATGTTCTATATAGTATGAATATGGGTAGTATGAATGAAATCCAGATGTACTACATCCGCCATGTTGTTACCGTCACATGACCTACCAGCTTCAGTTGCGTTGCTTCACCGCCGTTCATAAATCCTCTCCCGTGGCCTCATGGGATAGTTAAGTGTCCATCGAATGCGCACTTCAGAATTCGGACGGAAGAAGACGTAGGTCATCCGGGTACTTTTCTCTTACTGTTTTTCGAATACTATGAATTTGGACGTACTACTCGCCTCACATACTGTTTTTCACCTACTATATAGTAGGGAAGTATGCGATTTCGGACACAGCGAGTGACAGCCAATCAGAATCCATCCTGCTTTAAACAGCAAGAGCATTTAAAGCGACAGACAATAAAACTGCAGCGCGTTCTTACAATAAATAGAGCGTTATTGGCTGCCGGTGTGGACGCTATGGTTAACAGTTAACTATATAGTAGATAACTATAGTAGATATATATAGTAGGTAACTAAAATAATAGCAACCCATAACTATAACACAGAGGAACGATATGGTTTAAACAATTTAAAATGTTTATTTTTTCAGCTGATTAACGATAAAAACATTGACAGCCAATCAGAATCCAACAAAGTTTAGTTTCAGCATATAAAGCGGCAGATGATAAAACTACAGCACACTTATAGTAAACAACATTATTGTGCATTGGTGTGGATGCTAATATAGCTACGGTTTTAGGTGTGAACGCACCTTTATCCAGTGCAAAAACGTGCATCTATCATAGCAACAATAATAATTTATTTTGCAGTGCAGTTAACATGTTTCTTTCTCTCTTAGTGAAGGTCAAATGTTTCCCGTCTTAACCGACTGATCATGAGAAACAAATGAAACGTCGACCACATGGACACTGAAGTTTGGAGCGTATATTAATTCCCCATCAGATGAAGTGATGAGCGCTGGACTCGTTCTGAACAGCTCGTGTGTAAGTGCTGTCAAGAGGAGACTATTTCAAGCGCAATTACTCACTGGCATCACGTTTCAGTAAATTACAGGCAGACATTTGAATGATATTAATATTGGACAATATTCCTGACCACATGTCTACATCCTCCTCCGCATTAATACATCTTCTGACCGTGGGATTTGGAAAAGACATTTTACTTTTCCAGAGCAATGAAGATGATGGAGAGCAAAGAGAAAAAAAACAGACATCCATGTCAACGTGTGTCGTGACATTTATTCCTAAACAGTGCAGCGCTCTACAACACCTGGACAGGCTTGAGTTTGCAAATACATCCAGTATTTAAACAGAAATATCCAGAGGTCATATAATGAAACTTCTCTAAGTAGAGGATCCCGTGGAAATGAAAACACTCACGCTCGCACAAACCAACAAATCACTCAAATAGAGTTTACAGGCCGCCTGCAAATCCTCTACACAAGTCGTCTCTGTGTGACTCCTGCTTTACTGCAGATTATTGGTCCAATATGATGCTCATAAACGTCAAATATCAGTCATGAACACGGAGGGGGGAGGATTATGTACATGCATTTGAGATATTCCCTCTGGATTTGCCAAATTAAATTTAAAAAGCATTAAAAATGGGGAAATACTGTGTAAAACAAGTCATTATGATTTTGATGCTCAATGTGAAGAGTTATTTATATTGAATTGTGTCAGAATGGCTTTCTGTAAATGTACTTCCTCTCATAACACGCACACACTCACTCACTCACACACACACACACACACTCACATACACTCACTCTCACACACAGTCACTCACACACACACTCACTCACTCACACACACACACACACACTCACATACACTCACGCACCCACTCACTCACACACACACACACACACACACACACACTCTCACACACAGTCACTCACACACACACACACACACACTCTCACACACACACTCACTCACTCACACACACACACACACACCCACACACACTCACTCACTCACTCACTCACTCTCACACACACTCTCACACACACACACACGCACGCACGCACACACCCACACACATACATAAACACAGCATTAACATAAATCACTACAGTCAAAAACATTTTTGCTAATTATTAAAAAACACACAAAACAACAACAACAGCATTTTTAAAAAAAAATCAGCTCTGAAGTTGAAATAATTTTTTTTTCACATTTTTATTTCTTAATAAATGTCCTTTATTGTGCATAATTTATTTCTATCAGATTTGTTTGTAGCACAATGCTGCACACACACACACACACACACACACACACACACACACAGTCTGCTCTAACCGGAGGAAGTCAGTTCTCCGTCGGTGCGAGTGAATTCTCCCGCAGATGTGAGATCTCGGCTCGTTCTCAGCTGAACAAACTCCAGAGGCATTTACACACACCAATCCTCTATGATGATCCGTCATCCGTCTGTCTGGACTTACGCAAGCAAAGATTTACAAGGTAAAGCTCTGGTACTTGCACACATTAAAGATTTTTTAGTAACTCACAATGTCTAATTGGCAAATAAACATCAAAGAAAGAGGGAGGACAGTATAAAGCAGGATCCCTGTGTCCGTTACGCAGAGTTCAGAGTCCGTCTGCATCAAACTGGACACTTTCAGACGACAGACGCGAGCGAGACAGAGACGATGATCACTGTATGTTACACATGGAGCTGCGTGGAGGGTTGACGGCTCGAGCCACCGACTCCTGACTGTAGTTCACTATGTCTGCTTTAACCACGTGCTGCAGAAACACAACACACACAACACACACAACAGAGAAAGAAACCTTCAGTCAGCCCTCACTTCACCTCATCACTATACTAATACATGTGAAAACATTCAAGAGTTTCAGCAGTTAATCACTTAAATTACCAGAGAAGTGAATCCAAACTTTTTGGGTCGTACAATACTGTCAAACAATAATCTATGTTCACATGACACACACATGACTGATACTGCACACACACTACAGAGTTAACGCACTACAGAGCAACAAACAGACTGTAAACTGTCTGTCAACTACTGGATACAAATCTACATAAAACAAAGTATAATGAGTTTTTGATGAATCTACACAGCAAAAAAGATGAACACACACACAGACTCATACCCACACACAGACTCACACACAGACACACACACAGACTCACACACAGACAGACACACACACACACGCGCACTCTCACACAGACACACACACACGCATTCACACACACAAACACACACACGCGCATTCACACACAGACTCTCTCACACACACACACACACACACACACATACTGTTATTGGACAGAACAGAACAGACTCACACACGCACACACACGCGCACACACACACACAGACACAGACACACAGACACACACTCAGACACACACACGCACTCACACACACAGACACACACACGCACACACAGACTAATACACACGCACACACATGCGCACACACACACACACACACACACACACACACACACACACACACACACAGACTCACACACACACGCACGCACTCACACACACACACGCACTCACACAGACTCACACACACACAGACTCACACACGCGCACACACACACAGACACAGACACACAGACACACACACGCACTCACACACACAGACTCACACACACAGACTAATACACACGCACACACATGCGCACTCACACACACACACACACACACGCACACACACACACACACACACGCACTCACACAGACTCACACACACACGCACGCACTCACACACACACACGCACTCACACAGACTCACACACACACGCACGCACTCACACACACACACGCACTCACACAGACTCACACACACACGCACGCACTCACACACACACACGCACTCACACAGACTCACACACACACGCACGCACTCACACACACACACGCACTCACACAGACTCACACACACACGCACGCACTCACACACACACACGCACTCACACAGACTCACACACACACGCACGCACTCACACACACACACGCACTCACACAGACTCACACACACACGCACGCACTCACACACACACACGCACTCACACAGACTCACACACACACGCACGCACTCACACACACACACGCACTCACACAGACTCACACACACACGCACGCACTCACACACACACACGCACTCACACAGACTCACACACACACGCACGCACTCACACACACACACGCACTCACACAGACTCACACACACACGCACGCACTCACACACACACACGCACTCACACAGACTCACACACACACGCACGCACTCACACACACACACGCACTCACACAGACTCACACACACACGCACGCACTCACACACACACACGCACTCACACAGACTCACACACACACGCACGCACTCACACACACACACGCACTCACACAGACTCACACACACACGCACGCACTCACACACACACACGCACTCACACAGACTCACACACACACGCACGCACTCACACACACACACGCACTCACACAGACTCACACACACACGCACGCACTCACACACACACACGCACTCACACAGACTCACACACACACGCACGCACTCACACACACACACGCACTCACACAGACTCACACACACACGCACGCACTCACACACACACACGCACTCACACAGACTCACACACACACGCACGCACTCACACACACACACGCACTCACACAGACTCACACACACACGCACGCACTCACACACACACACGCACTCACACAGACTCACACACACACGCACGCACTCACACACACACACGCACTCACACAGACTCACACACACACGCACGCACTCACACACACACACGCACTCACACAGACTCACACACACACGCACGCACTCACACACACACACGCACTCACACAGACTCACACACACACGCACGCACTCACACACACACACGCACTCACACAGACTCACACACACACGCACGCACTCACACACACACACGCACTCACACAGACTCACACACACACGCACGCACTCACACACACACACGCACTCACACAGACTCACACACACACGCACGCACTCACACACACACACGCACTCACACAGACTCACACACACACGCACGCACTCACACACACACACGCACTCACACAGACTCACACACACACGCACGCACTCACACACACACACGCACTCACACAGACTCACACACACACGCACGCACTCACACACACACACGCACTCACACAGACTCACACACACACGCACGCACTCACACACACACACGCACTCACACAGACTCACACACACACGCACGCACTCACACACACACACGCACTCACACAGACTCACACACACACGCACGCACTCACACACACACACGCACTCACACAGACTCACACACACACGCACGCACTCACACACACACACGCACTCACACAGACTCACACACACACGCACGCACTCACACACACACACGCACTCACACAGACTCACACACACACGCACGCACTCACACACACACACGCACTCACACAGACTCACACACACACGCACGCACTCACACACACACACGCACTCACACAGACTCACACACACACGCACGCACTCACACACACACACGCACTCACACAGACTCACACACACACGCACGCACTCACACACACACACGCACTCACACAGACTCACACACACACGCACGCACTCACACACACACACGCACTCACACAGACTCACACACACACGCACGCACTCACACACACACACGCACTCACACAGACTCACACACACACGCACGCACTCACACACACACACGCACTCACACAGACTCACACACACACGCACGCACTCACACACACACACGCACTCACACAGACTCACACACACACGCACGCACTCACACACACACACGCACTCACACAGACTCACACACACACGCACGCACTCACACACACACACGCACTCACACAGACTCACACACACACGCACGCACTCACACACACACACGCACTCACACAGACTCACACACACACGCACGCACTCACACACACACACGCACTCACACAGACTCACACACACACGCACGCACTCACACACACACACGCACTCACACAGACTCACACACACACGCACGCACTCACACACACACACGCACTCACACAGACTCACACACACACGCACGCACTCACACACACACACGCACTCACACAGACTCACACACACACGCACGCACTCACACACACACACGCACTCACACAGACTCACACACACACGCACGCACTCACACACACACACGCACTCACACAGACTCACACACACACGCACGCACTCACACACACACACGCACTCACACAGACTCACACACACACGCACGCACTCACACACACACACGCACTCACACAGACTCACACACACACGCACGCACTCACACACACACACGCACTCACACAGACTCACACACACACGCACGCACTCACACACACACACGCACTCACACAGACTCACACACACACGCACGCACTCACACACACACACGCACTCACACAGACTCACACACACACGCACGCACTCACACACACACACGCACTCACACAGACTCACACACACACGCACGCACTCACACACACACACGCACTCACACAGACTCACACACACACGCACGCACTCACACACACACACGCACTCACACAGACTCACACACACACGCACGCACTCACACACACACACGCACTCACACAGACTCACACACACACGCACGCACTCACACACACACACGCACTCACACAGACTCACACACACACGCACGCACTCACACACACACACGCACTCACACAGACTCACACACACACGCACGCACTCACACACACACACGCACTCACGCACACAGACTCACACACACAGACTAATACACACGCACACACATGCGCACTCACACACACACACACACACACACACACGCAGACTCACACCCACACACACAGACTCACACACAGACACACACACAACTCACACCTACACACACATGCACTCACACACAACTCACACCTACACACACAGACTCACAGACAGACAGCTACACAGCAAAAAAGATGAACACACACACAGACTCATACCCACACACAGACTCACACACACACACACACACACATACTGTTATTGGACAGAACAGATCTTGCTCTGATTGGTCTCTTGTCTGATTGGTCCCTCGTCCTGAGGATAGTCCACCAACTCTGCTTTGACAATACACTACACACACAAACACACACACACCCACACACACAATGGAAACAGAGAAATGGAGAGAAACGGAACAGAAAAATAAGGTTCCATGCATTAGATAAAGGAAGAAAATAAAGATAGAAAGACAGTCACGATGATTTACAGATGAAAAATAATATAATACAACTGAGCTGGATAAGAGAGAACATGTGGATGTGTAATATCTGAACACAAACAGACACATTGAACACACACATGCATCTGACTCGTGAAATGATGGAAGTGTTAGTATGACTGTGTCAGAGAAACTACCACAGAAGTGAAGTAAAGAGAAGCGTGTGCCCTGCTGAAGAGCAAACACTGAGATCAGCACAGATCATCGTCACCTGTGACTGCTCCATCTCAGCCTTATTCAGCTTCATGCCCAACATCTCCGCTGCCAGCCGCTGGAAACACAGAAACGCCTGCAAATACACCAAAACACCCTAAAATCATAAGAAACTCTACAAACACAAATGAGACAAGTCTAAACCTAAACATAAGTATGTGATTTTGTTTTACCAGAAGCTTATACCTTGCATAAAATACATTTCTGGCCTAAAAACTAACCCTAAACATAAGTTCTAAGTCGTACAGTATCATATAATATCACCGTCTTGTTCGTGGTGAAGTTTATATCTTGCAATTCTGAGTTTTTACAATTAGAATGTCTAAAGTGAACTATCAAAATAACCCCAAAAAGGCTGGTTGTGCATGTAAGACAAAAGCACAAGAGGACAGGATAATGCAGACTCTCAATGGGGAATCGGATGCAATTCCGGCTGCAGTGCTGAACCCCGTTGATTCCCCATTGAGAGTACACAGGGTACAGATCTGTCTCGGCACGTTTAAGAGAAGTGGGACTGAAAGCGCACTCTGCAGTGATCAAGCCTCTCATCAGCAGAGAGAATCAAAAGACTAGACTCACTTTTGCTGAGGAGCTTGTTGTGTGGAGAGAGGAGAACTGCTCCAAAGTTCACTTTAGTGATGAGAGCAAGTTTCATTTATTTGGGTCTGACGGGAAACATTATGTTCGGCGTCAAACTGAGGAAAGACTGAAGCCCGCGTGCGTAAAGAAGTCAGTGAAAGCTGGAGGAGGAGGTGGTGTCATGGTTTGGGGGATGTTTTCTGCAGCAGGAGCTGATGTGCCTCTACACCTGCTACTCATTTCTGACAGCTGTAACCCTCCAAAATCTTATCTGTAATCATCTTTCGTGCTGCAGTGGTTGTAGTTCTTTAGTTTTGATCACTGTTTTACACAACATAAAGGTTTGATTGAAATGCCTTGGTTATTTTGTCAAACATGTTGGATCCGTGGTATACCTACAGCTGATATTCCTTCAGATTTTGAGTGATGAAGATTAACAATATTTCAGAAAAAATCAAGTATTTATAGATATTGATTTATTGATTGATCTCCACAGTACATGACTAAAATGTTTGATTCCTTTTATGATTACGTTATTTTAGTGAATCCAAATAAAGCATTTTGTGAAATGTGTTGTCATTAGGCAGAAGTCACAAGGGTTTGCAATATGAGGTCATTTATAGATGTCTATGTGTGTGTGTGTGTGTGTGTGTGTGTGTGTGTGAGTGTGTGTGTGTGTGTGAGAGTGTGTGTGTGTGTGTATGTGTGTGTGAGAGAGTGTGTGTGTGTGTGTGTATATGCATGTGTGAGTGAGTGAGTGTGTGTGTGTGTGTGTGTGTGTGTGAGAGTGTGTGTGTGTGTGTGTGTGAGCGAGCGAGCGAGCGAGCGAGCGTGCGTGCGTGCGTGCGTGCGTGCGTGTGTGTGAGTGAGTGAGTGAGTGTGTGTGTGTGTGAGTGTGAGTGAGTGAGCGAGCGAGCGAGCGTGTGTGTGTGAGTGAGTGAGTGAGCGAGCGAGTGTGTGTGAGTGAGTGAGTGAGTGAGTGAGTGTGTGTGTGAGTGAGTGAGAGTGTGTGTTACTCACAGAGTCTCCCGTCTTTGCAGACACAAACTGACTGATGAGTCCGTTTTCCTGACAGAATCGCTGATGCTTCTCCATCTTTACTGTCCGCATGTGCTCCAGATCAACTGCGCACACACACACACACACACACTAGCTGAGCGGTTCTGATTAAAGAAACACTGAATTCTGTCAGTTTGACTGGAATCACTGAACTTGATTATTTGATAGAAACACTGACTGATAAAACATGTTTTATCTCTGGCCGACACCACAGCAAAACCCAATCATTACGTTTGCATGTAAATCAGGACGACGGGTTATTTCAATAAGCTGATTTTTATAAGTTATGAATGTATTGGTGTTCATGTGAACGTGGCACTGTGTGGAAAACAACATTCTGCTAAACATCTCGATTTCCACAGAACAAAGACGGTCATCTAGAGTTTGAACAGGAGTGAAAGATGACAGAATGATGATTTCTGCGTGAACTGTGACTGTAATCTGTCTGAGCTGCTTTCACACACCTGCAAGCACAGGATCACATACAGAATATCAGACCTGAGGGCACGCACACACACACACACACACACACACACACACCCGTGTTATGTGATCACGCCGCTCACCGTCATGTGTGATCTGGCATCGCTGTCAGCAGGACTGTGATTTACTGAGCGCTCAACAATGGCACTCTGACACCCGTAACACACCCTGTGTGTGTGTGTGTGTGTGTGTGTGAGAGAGATATCACTGCGGGGTCACGCATAGGTCAGAGCACAGGGGTCACACAGGAGATTCCCCCCGGCTCCATTTACACTGCTCTTACAGACACACACATGTGTAAGTGTGTGTGTGTCATATTTCACCAACTCTGAATAACCAAACAACCAGAACCAGCTCACTGCCTGAAACTAGAGTTTATGCTTTTCTACATAAACACACACACACAGATGAGGGAAGATCTGTCTGTCTGCAGCTGTAACTAAACACTCATAATCCCACAGATAGTTCAGATCCTGCTCACGTCTACAGTGCCATCAGTCAACTGACCACACACACACACACATACTGATGCTGACACACACACACACACACACACTGACGCTGACACACACACACACACACTAAAAGAATCTTCTAAAGGGGTCATATGATGCTGCTAAAAGAACATTATTTTGTGTATTTGGTGTAATGACATGTGTTTATGCAGTTTAAGGTAAAAAAAAAAACACAATTTTCCACATACTGTACATTATTGTTTCTCCTCTATGTCCCGCCAGCTATCCAGTGCGTTGTGATTGGCTGAATACCTCAAGCGTGTGACGGAAATGTTACGCCCCTCACCATAGTGTGCTGCTCTGTCCGGCCGGAGCGACGAGACAAACACATGAAAACCCATTATAAACCAGGCATTCGTTGCATCCTGTGGGGACATAATTACTGATTATAATGACTTATACTGTCTTTTTAATACTGTCTTTTTACGCATTGCGTTGCATTGCGCCGCGTAAACATAAAACCATGTCTGCATTTGTGATCGGAGAAAT